TTAACCTGTTCTGATACCATCTAGAAGAATCAGAGTCTTCATATTCTGGGGTTCATGAAGAACGGAGAGAATGAATTTTGGAAATTTTTCATTATTTTCCAGATTTGTATGAATGTATGTATATGTCTCTCAGCTACCGTATTTGTACATATATATGTATATATAGCTGTATTTAATATGTCCTATAACTGTCCTAAGTAAAAGGTCTATATAACCCTCCACTTAACTTACACATCTATATACATCAGAAGGGCAAAACTGTACAAAAACAAAGCTGTACAAAAACTGAGTCGGTTGACTGAAAGCCTTCAACCGCCTTCATCCTGGATCCATTGTTACTGATTCTTCATAGTAAAAAGTACACAACTCAGCTGCACAATAAGGATTTTGTATCACCTATAAGTTAAAGCATAAAGAAGAATACTATTTATGACACAATATTAAGCAAAAACCAATGTTTTAAAAATAAGTAAAGTGGAGACATTAAAGCCTTTACCTTTCACTAAAATATTTTTTTTTTTCACTAAAACAATATATGTATATTCAAAATGATGAAAGTAAAACATCAAAACCAGTGTTATTGATCCTAACAGAAAAACTAAAAAATTCAATGTTTACCTTTTAAGATGAAGATCAAAGTACACAATATGAGTATGAGTTGCAGATACCTCTCCTTCTCCCTTACACCAGATATGGTCCTTGAAGTCTTGCGAAGAGCACACGCATTTTGAGAAACTAATCCACCATTTTGTGTGTAACGCGGAATCGATCCAAAACTCAAGCTTCGGAGACCCAATGAAGCTCCACTCATTTTACCGTAAACCAAACAACATCACCCTTCATCTCTGTCTTTTCTCAACACTCCCATTCATTCGCTACTGGAGTAAGAGGAGGACAAACCCCAGAGCTTCCAAATTAGAAAATCTCAGTACTGTTTCGAATTCCCCACCAAAATTCTTCACGACTTCCTCCACTCATAACACACAACAATTACACTAAGAAGACAATGCCGTAATTAGAAAAATGCAACAACACAATGCCGCTTCCGATGCACAGCCCAAAGATCCTGGCATTCAACAAAAGTTTCCTTAAGTAAATCACTACAATCAAACCCAACGAAAAAACCTCAGTCCCAATGAATGATGACTAATTCCCCAATAATATGCACTAAATTGAGAAACCCAAAACGTATTGTTTCTCTAAATCCACCATCGAAATAGTTCGGACCATAATACTAGGAGAACAAAATCTGGGAACGAATGCAAAATCGATAACGTTCTGTCAATTCTTAAAAGGGTCAATTCAATGGACAAGGATCAATGCAAAAACATCCCCCCAAATCATTAAAACTTCAAGAAAATAAAGGCAATAATGTTAATCAGGAATAATCCAAAAAGATTTTTTCGACCGAGGTATCTACATCAGCAGATTATTGAATTTAAATTAAAACGAAAACGAAATAATAAAGTTTAGTTTATTCATCATCAGAGGACATTAATTTCAAGCTAATCCCAGAAAATTTTGCACTGGGTCAACTAAATTAAAAATTTTAACAGCAATATCAGATCATCGGACGATGAACAGATCATAATCCGATTGACCCATAATCCAAAATCTCGAAACCAATAAAGATTCAAACTTTGTGGCTACCCATAGCCCACCTGAAATGGATGGATGGATGGCCAACTTCATTATACTACAAAAGGAAGCTTCAAATTTTTACGAAATGAGAAAAAACCCAGATACAGGGAAGAAAGGAAGAATATGACCTTAAAAAGATTTTTCGATTGTTCTCTTTCAGTAATATAATTGTTGATGTTGTCGACTGGACCTACTTTGAAGGCCATTGACGTTGGTTCGATCTGCTTCACAGGTGGATCTCTTTTCAATTTGACATTAGGGATAGAATTTGCTATCCATCCCAATCATCCTCTAGTTGGCTTGATTTTGTGCTGAGTGGTAGAGCAAACAGTACCATCATCGATTAGGATCTTGCAATCTGTCATCGTTTAAATCTCTCTCCCGAATTGACGAAACCGGATTTCTCTCTTAATCGAACTCTTTCTTTGCGATAAAGATTTGATCCTGTGTGTGTTTGAAATTGAAACATGGGATTGTGATTGATTCCAAAGATTAGTAAGTACTAATTTTGAGAGAAGAAGTAGTAGGAAATCAGGGATTCCATTGAACCCGTTCCTCCGAATGAAAGGGGAGAGACAAACGGTTTTTTTTTTAATAACATAATTTTTTTATGCAATTTTTGGCGGCCTAGCAGTGCTGAAATTGGGGGTAATTTAATGTTTGTTTTAGTGTTGATAACTATCAAAATAAAAGAGATATGATATGTGCTTATCAGTTAATTTTTTAGAGTCATTGAATACTGATATACTGAAATTAGGGAGCAAAATATAAAGATCAGTTTTTTTAGGGGAAGATTTTGAGCATTCTGTAGCAGAAAAAGCATGCCACGTGTAAGATTTTTTTGTGAAGAACTTTTGATTTTTGGAGAGAAAACATGGAATGTGGAGCTGCTTTCTGTTTTAAGTAAGTAAAGGGGATTAAATTTGGAGACAAAATTTTCCTTCAAGTGACTCTTGATTTGATATAACCACTCGCTTTGGTTTTAAGAAATGATTATGCTTTCATATTATGCAATATTTCGTTAAAGAAAACATATCTTTATAATCTACTGAAATTAAACCACCGGGAATGATACATTAGGGATAGCAATACTTAAAATTTGTTTTGTTTTTCATTTTGTGCACATTGGATTAGAATTAAAGTTAACAAATGTTATTTACTTGAAAATCAGCCACACGATGAAATTTCAGAGAAATAAGATATAGAGCGGTTCGCTCAAAAGTGTAATACTTTAGTAAGCTAGTAGTGTATTTTACATTGTATCATCGATTTACGCACGAAAAATGCATAAAATAAGAGTGAATTGTGGTAATTCAGTAATTTAATTGGGAAACAAGCATCTACCCAGCTTTAAGCAAGAATACTAAGTTATACTCCCTCCGTCCCATAATTATTGTCCACTTTGCCAAAAAAATTTTGTCCCAAAATTATTGTCCAATTTGACTTTTTATGGATTAAGTTACAAATTTACCCTTTGGTCAAAAATAGCCATTAATTGGAAACCCAGTATCACCGTATCGGTTAAACACAACATAACACGCAGTAGCAGCAAAATGAAGCTCTGAGTCCGACGGCTCAAAGCGGCGGCGACGAGGAGGTGGTCGATAGGATGGTTATCGGAAGGGAATATGTGAAGATATCTTTCTTTCCCATTTGAATATTACGGTATTGATTTGTTCGGTATTCTCCACTTTTTCAAAATTTGTGGTTAGATTTAGCATTCAAACTGATTAGAAATCGGGTTCTCTAGTTGATTTAAATTCATAAATTAAATTGGTGTTTCTTGATGAGATTTGAGAAACCTGATGGCTAACTTCGAAGGATATCTCCTTTAAGTTGATTATTAGAATAATAATCAAGTTCCTCTGCCCAAAATCTCTGCTCCACCACCATTCCTGCCACCTTTAATTAGGCCTCCAAAGAAAAGAGTGCATCCTCACAGTGATGAAGAGGATAAGGGCGATGAAATTATTGAATTTACATTTATATCAATTGAATCAACTTTGTTTATCTTAGTCCGATTTTGTGTGTTTTGCTTCAGATTTGAAGTGAGACCGATTTTGTCTACAGTGGACTTGAACCATCTTCAAAGGTAGTATCTCTGTCACTTTCAATTCTCTTTTTTTGTTCGATGTAGGGCTTGATGCCGTCTTAACCTTCCTTTTTCTTTTATCCAAAACGTAAGATATGTGAATTAAATTAAATTCCTCATTTTGGGTTGATTGTTTGTGTTGTTTGTTTTGATTGGATTTAGGGAGAGAAAGATGGATGTAACTAAATCCTCCTCTAGGTAATATCTTTGTCCCTTCAAAATCTCTTTCCGTATTTGGAATTAGGGTTGGTTTTATTGTTCTATTTCTCCTTGTTGAATTTCCAAGGCAGATTTGTGCAGGAACGTACATCAGCCTTTAGTTCACTTTTGTTTAAAACCTTTCTTCACTTTTCAATCAAGTTTTCCTCCTTGTCACTATTTTCTATCTTACTATAACTTTAGTAATCCTAGTACCTTTAATTTTTTGTTGGTTTTGCTTGGATTGTAGAGTTTATGAAGTGCTGGAAGCACCACTGCACTTGCCCATGATGCACCATCGGCCATATTTGGCACTACCTGTCCCTAGTTGAGCCTCTAACGCGTGTCGAAATTTGTCTAAACGAAGATGGCGTAAGTTCTTTTACTTCTGACCTCTTATCAAAGTTTGATCTTTATGCTTTACGTTCGAATAATTATCTTCTCTGTTCTTTTGGTAGTCTTTCCGGCCGTACCAGCTAAATTTAAAAAGGGAACCACTGCTTTGGCTTTTATTTTTGTTGGTGCTTTGTTGCAGGTTGCCTTTATAAGTTGCTTCAATTCTCTGTATTTGTTGTTTGGCTAAAATAGGGGAGTATAAATGGCTAGAAGACTGTCACTCTTGATTTCTCAGTGTTACCATTTTCAAATTTCTACTTTGGATTGATAGTATCTAGCTTTTGATTCTGATATATTTTTGTGAACCATGCAACCTCAGTTATCTGCTTCAGTTGCCTGATGGATACTTACCTTAATTAAATAATCCAATCTGATTAGGAATTGAGTGATAATCACTGCCAAGTTCTTAGTACCACTACATTTTCCAGTAATGCTCTTGTCCTTATGTTTTCTTGACTTCAGGGACGATCATGATAATCAAGTTTCTTAATCATTTTGTTCTAATGCATTTTTAGCTAGTGTTGTGGGTTATAGACTCTGTGAACATTCTTGCTTGTTTTTTCATCTTCTCCTGTCAGTGATGTAAGGGATAATGACTCGTTTTGGTTAATCTCTCTCGCTATTGTAGGACTGAGACAACAATAGTCTTCAAAGAGTTTTGACAATCTATACAATGGGGTTTGATCCAAGTCATTGTTCTTGGATCTGCAGTTGAAGAAAAGTACGTGAGCTCTGGACGTCTTGATCAGAAAATTGAACAAAGATCTGATTTCGGGAAACCACCAATTGTCGATGCTTCTCAGAAGGCAAAGGCGCCAGAGATAATAATAGTAATGAAGGACCTGAACCGTTAAGCGTTGATGATTACGAGTTAAATTGTTCAGTCCCCTTTATGTGCTATTTGATTAATGAAGAAACAAACCAAGAATTCGGATTTATGCCAGCGAAATCAAGCAATCAAACTGAGCACGAACAAGGGAATGTTAATTGCAGCAAATTTGCGGCCAGCACAACCGATGAAGCCAGCACAAGTGCAGAAAATGAAGAATTTGGGGCGTTATCAACCTGTTGTTCTGGGATTGTTGTTGATCCTTCATATTGTGAGTTGAATTATGGAGATCCTTTGATGGGCAATTCTTTTAGTGGTGAAAGAAGTCAAGCATTTGGGTGTATGACAAACAATTTTGTGGGCGACAGTTTTGGTTTCAATGGTGCAATTGCTGCTATATAGTGTTGTTTTTGCTGTCAATTAAGATTATTCTTTTTTGTAGTTTAAATATTAGAGCATTAATGTAGTTGATGAGATGAAATCACCTTTGTTAACTACTAGAACAGTTGGATTCAGTGTATAGGGAATGCTGCAGATGGATTTATATGTTCTTCCTACAGTTGAATGAAATCATCTTCTTCTCCTTCTTCAGTTATTCTGTTTTTCTTTCTTGCAAATTTTCTATACTCTGAAGAGTGCTAGTAGTATAAGATTTATGAGCCAGCATCAGAGAACTATGGCTATCAGTTTTGTCTGAAACAGAAGAACAAACCTTGTAGCTTTGTTAAAGTACAAAGTTGCTATTGGTATGTGAGGCAGAACCAGAGGAGCAATGCTTGTCTGATCTTTCTGATTGGGCTCCTCAGATATGGACGCATTTGCAGAGAACATGAAGAACACATTTGCAGCTCTTCTGAACTGCTTAACAATAATTTGGGCAGAAATGCTAAAGCAGTGTAATTCGTAGTTCTTTCATTGCAAAAAACTAATGTTAAAAGGCCAACACCTCCAATAAGAGAGTATTTTAAAGATTCTTGCCAAGAAAGGTTACTGACACTACTAAAATGCTGCTTTTTTCTTGTACCACAACACATTTTTGGCTTCTATATATACATATAGGCTCTCCTATTCAATTCAATGAAAAACAGACTGTTGGTTAAGAAAGAACAATCAGAAACTAGAATGACAACATGCCGTGAACATTCAAACTTCCTTAGATACTAGAATTACAGAAAGTATTAAAAAATCATGGTACAGCAGAATGTTATAAAAATTAGAATGTTACAGCAGAATGAGGCCTTTGCTTTGGAAGAGTAACTGTTTTTTGACTTGCAATTTGTTCACCTTGTTTCAAATGATAGATGATACACAAATCAAATAGAAATGACAACAGAAATTAAGGGTCATGATCAGCAGCCACAACAAGATGATGATGAGAAGGGGGTGATTGAAAACATTAATCAGTCAGCTGCTGTAGCTAAAATTCTCTGTGGGAGTTTTGTGCTGAGCAGCTGAACATTCATGAAACCTCAAACAGAGAGAAATATCATTCCTAACCTCACGTATAGGAACTACTCCCAATTTAGATCTTCCCAAGCTAAACAAAAGACAATAAAGAAGGAAAAACCAGGCATTCCACATGTAATCTGCAACAATAGGAGAGCTGCAACTTCAAAAACAAGCAAGAGAGACTACGCGACATTTTCATGCAGTTTCATCAAACTACCTAACTGAAGGTGAATATGATGATCCATCCAAACATGCATTTGGGTCAAGGATGATGGAATCAGAATCTGAAATGCTACAGCAAACAAAAATTATCTGGGATAGTGGAAAATGAAACACAGATGCAAGCAGTAGATAATCTCTAAAACAAAGGCGCAGGAAAAAATTTGGAGAAAATGAATACCAACTAATAAAGTATATGGCTTTCATATGAGAACCAGAACATCAAATGAAAATTTAATAAACCTAACAAGCTCCAACTTATCACTGCCCCTATTTTTCTTGATAAGTAATAGCCAGCAAGGGAGCGGGAAAAAAAAAACAGCAGCATTCACAACATAAACAACTAATGCCTTAAGCAACATCTAGCTAATGCCTTAAGCATCAACACCAGCTGTGTAATCAGATTCAGATTCAGAGTACATATGAGACAACTTCAAATCTGTCAACTAATGCCTTACAACGCAACAATTATTCCAGTAAGGTTTACAAGTAGAGCAGTATACCATGATTTCTACAAGATGCACAACATTTACTCCTTATATAGTCACTGTGAAAAAAGCTTGCAAAGTTGATATAATCTTTTCTCCACTATCTTTCTGTTTCTCCTGCATTGAAAACATTACACAATTAAGAACCAATTAATAAGCTACAGGCAAAACTATCTAGTAATCATAAAAACCAATACTTTTCTCACCTTCTATGAGTGATCATGTAAATATTGCATCACTTTTTGAACAAGTTCCCTGTCACAAGCCATTCGAGTCGGGAGCTGTCCATCTCTTGCTAATTTATCTTTTCCCAAATGAGGTATTTTATAACCATTGCTTCGAAAAACTTTCATGACTTCCACCATACATTGTTGCAAGGTCAAGAAAACATGATTTAGACTCTTGTAATGCAAGTCATTGAAGGATTTCTCCACTGCTAAAAGCAATTCGTCAATTGTTCTCGGTGCTTCTTGGTGTTGTAGCACTTGGATGGCTTCGAAATAACCAAGATCGAGAACATTAAGATCAGGGCTATTTGGGGGCTGATACATTAAACGAATATCAATACCCGATGTCCTAACTGCTTCAATAAACTCCACATCGGTTGGGGCAATGTGTGGCTTGGCATTATCTTGCTGAATGAAGATAGGACCAGGTAATCCTCTCGGCCATTTGGCACATATAGCTGGCAAAACTTTGTCGATCAAGCATCTACGATAAACCTCTCTATTGACAGGACACATCGGCTTTGTTAGTTCCAGCTGGCCGATTCTTACTGTTTCTCTTAGCTGGAACTTTCTCTACGAATGGAAATATTCCAATTTTTCCATCAAACACACAATTACCCCACCAATCAAAGTGAGGCCTACACACAACAGCTAGGAACATCACTTTCTGAATAAACTTTTTATTCTTACAAAATCTATCAGGCGGAGGTTCAGTCAGATGCAAATAAAATCTCTTAGACCCCTCAGTCAAATAGAACCATTTTTCATCAAGATGAAAGATGTTAAACATCTCCTTAAATATAGGAAAACTACTCAGTGTATACTCTTCAAGCATTGACAAACAAAACTGAAGCCTCTTTATCTTATTATCTTCGGTGAGAAATGGTTTAATTGCATTAGAGTGAACAATAATCTGACCTGCTTTGATCCGCCGGTGGAGTGTCGACCGAGCTATTTCCATTTGATTGGCAAGTGACCGGATGTTACTCCTACGTCTTAGAGGAACCTTCTTAATCTCTTCAAAATCTATATCTAGCGCACTTCTGTCAGCCCGTTTTGACCTACGCCCAACTTCAATCATTCCTCCATTAGCTAAGCATTGTTTTGCACGCGCCCAAATTCTTCGTACAGTCCGGTCAGTTACACCAAAATAACCAGCAATCCACACAAAAGTTCCATGCCGTGGTTTTCCTTTCTGGAACTCAATCTCAAGCATCCCCAAAATCTGATTCCGCTCTGCATCTGTGAGCTTCCTCTTAATGTCATCTTCTTCTTGAAAATATAATTCATAGGGATCAGAATAAGTTGTTTCATATGATTCAGAGTTGTAATCCGATACCTCAGAAGTAACTCCGTCAAAGTCTGAATCGAAATCGCCATCAATCGATTCAAAGGATATTCCAGGCGAGATATCAAAATCATACGGAGGAACATCAAATTGAAGCTCAGAATAAGAACTTCCTCCAAACCAGCTTGAATTGATCTGAAAATTCCGTTCATCGGGAATAAATGATGACTTCACTTTTGAAGAACTCCCAGCGATTGATACCGGCAAGGAACGCTCCGGTGAAATTGAGCAATTGTCTTCATAAACTCCAAATTGAAAGTTAGAATATGAAGATTCACCGAATTCGAGATTCTTCATTGAAAAATTTGGTTCGATTGGCACGACCGAATGCCTCACGGTTGAAGAGCTCCGTGCAATCCATACCGGCGTCGAATTCTCCAGTGGGGAAGAATTGCATCCATAAACATCAAACTGAACCTTAGCGTATGAAGATTCGAAATTATTCATCTGAAAATTTGAAAAATCTTGATGCAATCATAAAGAACAGATGAAGGAGTTCTGTTGTTTAAAAAAATTGAATGGGGATCGATTTTTGAATATTGGTAAAGGAGTTCTATTTGTTTAAGACTCATATTCTTTGCCAGTCAAGTGATTAAGGAGGCAGGGGCAAATTTGGTAGTTTAAGATAAAATGTAATTAAGTTTGACCAAAAATAAAATTTACCAATTTAGCTAAAGTGGACAATAATTATGGGACGGAGGGAGTAGAAGATCTAGATTAAATAATCTTTCCAGAAAAAAAAAAGGATTAAATAATATAGAAGATAATATAGCAAAAGGTTAATATCAAAAACAGCCCCAATGTGTAGCTAATTATCTAAAACATCATTACTATTTAAGAAAACATCAATAACATTCTTTAATTAATTAGCAAGTCAATTATCAGTCCTCTAACGACCGAGAATTGATATACGCACATGAATTCAACCAAAAAAGTACCAAAAAAATTGTTCGTTTTGAATTTTAAAAAATTCTAATAAAATCAAATATCTACTTTCAAATTCAAAAAATTCAGCTTTCAGGAGCCTGTAAAAAGTGGATTTAGAAGTTAAAATTTGATTTTATTAGAGTTTGAAAAAAAAATTAATCACGGATGGTTGAGAGTAAAATAGCTTTTCGGCATTTTTTTTTTGATAATTCACATTTCTTTTAAGTTATAAAATTTGCTATCCTGCTCCAATTTTTTATAACAAAAAATTTTATTCCTTTTGTCCCATAATTATTATATAGTTTGAGTTTTCATTTCTAGTTCAAATTGTACTAAAAGTGAAATCTCAAACTGGACAATAATATTGGGACAGAGGGAGTATTTTTTTTGTAAATATTGTAAGAATGTTGAATTTTGCATTTACTCTTTAAAAAAGAATTATGATATGCGCTAGAAATAATTTACAAAAAAAATTTTCCATTTGTGGTTCAAAGCATTTTAAATTAAGAGGCAGTTTAGATCTTAAAAAAAATCGTTCCTTGTCCTTTTTGTTTTTCTTGTAATTTTTGTTTCCTACGTATCAGTTATCACCACTCTTTATTAAATGAAGAAAGTTCTTATAGAAAATTCAGCTCAGCGCAATTGTTGTTGTTATTATTATGTTACCAACAGGCCTGGACAAAAAGAAAAACCCGAAAGGTCGAAGTCCAATCAATGTTTGGATTTACAGTTATTATTGGTTTA